GTTGTATGTGCTGCCCTGCGCAAGAGTTTAACAGTTGAAGCAACAAGTATGTAAATCTATTCCAGGCTTGAAGATACTGGAACCTAAGCAGAAATAAGCCAGGGCAAGCAACACCATTGCATAACCCTTCAAACCTCCGACTGTGTACCCTCATCTAACTCCCTAAAGTGACGCTCTCCGACAAGCTCCTGCTAAGGCGCTCTCTCTCTCCTTCATATCTACATTCACCTTTCCGTTTCCGTATCCTTAGACAGCCGCTTAGATATTATAAATATTACCAGACTATGGTAGGATGTGAGGTGCATACTTTACACCGCAGTAGCTATTTTTCTCAGGTTGGGCACTCGCTATTGTTATCCACTGTGAACAATTGTGTATGGCATGGAAGCTTTGGTCTTGGCGGGAGGTGTAGTGAGGGGTTGTCAGACCACAGCTTACATCGCGAGGAAAGCCAGACTTGACCCGACATTAGCCGAGGTCAAAAGTATAGGGTAACCCTGCGGTTGACCAAGGATTGTAAATCAGCCTAGCTCCCCTCCCATGTGACATGTGGCCCCAACAAAACATGTAAGAAGGCACCAGCCGACTCTCTTCCAATATACAATAACCTACTCTCTGAACAAAGGCCGGACCTGACCTCACATTAGCCAGGTCAAATGTAACCCTCGGAGCCCAACTCAAGGGGCCACAAATCAACCAGGGCCTCTCGTGTCACACGGCCCCACCTGATGACTTCTCCAGAAAGTACGTCTTACATCTCAGAAACTCCAGTTTGACCCGACATTAGGGAGGTCAAAAGTATAGGGTGGCTCTGCGGTTGACCGAGGATTGTAGGTCGGCCAGGCTCCCCTCCCATGTCACACATGTAAGGGGGCACCGGCCGGCTCTCTCCCAATATACACAAGGCCCCACCTGATGACTTTCCCAGAAGATAAGACTTGTGGTTTCTGAAGGAGTCCAGACCTGACCTCACATTGGCCAGGTCAAATGTAAGGAGACCCTTCGCCGCCCCCCCCCCGGCCAGCTGAACCTGACGGCTCGCATCCCAATATATAGGACGTCCTGGTCCTCCCTCGAGGATTCGCAGAGAGGGAGTTGTCTTGTAACCAGGGAGGGCCAGCTACCACGTCCCCAGTCCCGCTCGAGAGAAGCCCACCACTAAGTGTAACGAAGTCTCAGCTGGGTCCATCGACAAAGTGCTGTCAACTCCACGTGTAACAGTAAGTGCTGGCTGTGTAGACTGTAGAAGTGCAGTGATCCCGAACCTCCCCAACGATCGACTTAGTGAAGTGCCCATTCTAATTGTGAGGTTAGGTTATACGAGAATACCATAGTCTATCATAAATTGTATACGAACCCCCCCTATTAATCCCCCCTATTGAACTAGTAAAATAAAGCTGTAACACGCATTGGTGTTTTATATACTACACTTGTACTGTGCCTGTGTTAATATACAGTGTTGACATCACACCCTCGAGACACGCTACCATTTCCTCTCGCTATAATACTCTACTACTATAAACTCCTAACTTACCTCTTCATGTGAGATTTTGTCTCATTACATGGTTGTTATAATCATAGTCGTGGTTGTTATAATCATGGTCGTGGTTGTTATAATCATGGTCGTGGTTGTTATAATCATAGTCGTGGTTGTTATAATCATAGTCGTGGTTGTTATAATCATAGTCGTGGGTGTTATAATCATAGTTGAGGTTGTTATAATCATGGTCGTGGTTATGATCATGGTCGTGGTTGTTATAATCATGGTCGTGGTTGTTATAATCATGGTCGTTATTAAGTGGTAATCATGTTCATGTGGCTGTTATATAGACCATATCGTGGTCGGGATACTTACAGTATCTAATAACCTATAGGAATAGAATAAAGGTTAGAATAATTAGTTAAAGAAATATTCGCCATAAAGAGAGGTTAAAAAAAATATATATATATTATGAATCACCGATGATCATTCCCAGATAAATTATATTATGAAGAGAAGTGACCTTGATTCTGGTTAGATTAGTCACCATCTGCTTAAGTCATCACCTGTGTTAAGTCATCATACTCATCATCTACGTTAGTCAGTTTTAGGCCCATCTCACATGACTGACCGACCATCCATGTTCCTTCCGGGCGAGGGTGTTAGTTTTCAATGCGTCTTATTATTTACGCTGGTGGATGTAAGACCAGCTACCCTCACTGACGCAGCTATGGTCAATTTGGTGTTATTCTTGTTTATAAATGCCTTCTAATCTGTCTCAAGTCTATCCGTCCTGTCTATTGCCATCCCAACTGTCTGTTCGTCTGCGTGGTGTTTGTCTGTACTCTTTGTGTCGTCAAATCTGTCTGTCTTATCCGTTGTTGGCGTGTGTCTGCCTGTTTGTCTAATGTGAACCAGTCAGTCAGCTGTCTGTCTGTCCTGTTAGTTGCCATATTGTCTATTTGTGCATGTATGAATCTGTCTATTTGTGTCAACCTCCTGTCTGTTTCACTGTCTATATTCACCCTGTGTCTATTGTAGTCATCTTCTCCATGCATTTCTGTTATTATCTATTTATCTCTTCTCCTTTTCCACCCACAGTAATAAGTATACACTGTAGCTGTAAGGTCGTCTGGTAACGTTGAAACTGCGCATCCAGAGCATGATGAAACTCAGCTCCCCTCCACCTGTTATCTCTAACTATTTTCTGTTTCCCCTTCTTTATTCGTTCTATTTACTCATCTTCCTTCCTTTACTAATCCAAACAACATTAAAAAAAAGTAGGCTAAGAAAAACAGTGGGGGGAGGAGGAGGGAGCTGTTCGATAACTGCAATCGCTGGGTGCGCCAAGTCCGTAGACTTGCATCGTTTTCCAGCGTAAATGAAATGGTTATGTAGTGGATTCCTAAAGAAACCATCGATATGGGACCAGGTTTGTTCCACTGTACGATTTTTTTTGCGATTTTTCCACCAAGTTTGATGAAAAACGATTGTGCCGTTTCGGCTGCCCAAAGCAGACACACATACACACACACGCCTAGTCCTATAGTATATTATATATATATATATATATATATATATATATATATATATATATATATATATATATATATATATATATATATATATATATATATATATATATATATATATAGTGGGGTATGCTATAACGAACGGATCCTACTACGAATATTCCTATAACGAACGCAACTCCTACAACGAACGCGGATGAATACGGGACTACTTCGCCTGGCGCATGAATATTGTTGTACCGCGACCCACAACAAGAGCGTCAGGCGCCATCTTTGTCTCATTGTGCACCGCTGTTATTGTTGAAATTTCGTCTTTTGATGTGGAAATTCGCGTTATTTGTATAACTATTTTGTTATACAAGTATACAATTGTAACAATGAGTCGTCCAAAGCTAGTGAGAAAGCTAATAACCCTTGAAACTAAGAAAGAAATTATAAAGAAACGTGAGAATGGAAGAAGCATTGCGAAACTTAGTGATGTATGGGATGGCTAAATCGACTATATGTACGATTTTGAAGAATAAAGAGGAGTTAAAAACTGTGCAAGTGGCTAAGGGAATCTTTAGACTTAGCAAAGCAAGGTGTAATGTGATTGAAGAGATGGAAAATTTACTCTTAGTGTGGATAAAGGAGAAAGAAATGGCAGGTGGTAACATTAGTGAAGCTATAATTTGTGAGAAGGCTAAACAATTGTTTGAGGACCGTAAAGCCAAGACTCCCAGTGGAAGTGATAGTGATGTGCCAGTGTTTAGGGGTACCTGCATGCTGAATAACACTAAGGTAAGATAAAGTACCGTATTTTTTACATTTTCCACAGAATTTTTTCAGTGTTAGGTGGTTGTATTTGGGGGCCTGGAACGGATTAATCCTATAACGAACGAATGCTATAACGAACGAGGTTCTGGAACCAATTACGTTCGTTATAGCATACCCCACTGTATATATATATATATATATATATATATATATATATATATATATATATATATATATATATATATATATATATATATATATATATATATATATATATATATATATATATATATATATATATATATATATATATGCTGATAACCACAAGGAAAGAAAACACGTGAACTTTTCTTGTGGTTATCAGTATACCTGGATCACAAGCAACTACAGTGATTTACTTGCATATATATATATATATATATATATATATATATATATATATATATATATATATATATATATATATATATATATATATATATATATATATGTATATATATATATATATATATATATATATATATATATACACATATATATATATATATATATATATATATATATATATATATATATATATATATATATATATATATATATATATATATATATATATATTAATCAGAGATTGAGCTTGCCAGGGAAAAGTGTAATATACACGTTGACAACTTTAGTTTCACAACTGGGCGGGACTTCAAGACAAGGAGCCTTTATGCATATACGTTGAGATGTTGGAGATAAGGAGTTTGACATGTTCTTCTCAGGAGATTAATGACTTTCTTAAATTGACAACTGACAATAACTAAACTACAACCATCAGATTCTCTGATGTTTGGGCAACAAAAAAAATCTAACTTCAGTAGCAATTGGAAACTCATGGCCATTCCCAAGGACGAAATCATGAGATGCCAGTCGTACAGGCAGACTCGACTCTCACTTACTAGACAAGTGTTACTAACAATAAAGGCAGTTAAAGCTTTCAACATTACTCACAAAGGATCTTGAATGCTCAAACTGCAATCAAAAATATCTAAGTTGACTCAAAACAATGGTGTTCGCTCTCAAATTCAACCAATTCTATAGTACTCCAGCATCTCAGTACAAAATCCTTCATCCACTCGACCTCTGGAGAATTCCCGTCTCTCCTTTCATAGTCATATGCTCTATCCTCGTATCGCTCCCTGATCTTTCCCATGAATCTCTTAGCCAAAGTATTCGGTGAATCATACGTGTCAATTTCGTGCAGTTTTCCCAGCACCTTTAAGTTGTTTACGCAATTTCCTAGATCGTCCACGAGTTCCTTTAATGTCATCTGTTCTCACGGCTGGGCCACTTAGGACCTTGCCTATTAGTTCTTGGACGTAGGCTTGCTTGTTGCCATAACGCTCTTCTAGCAAGGCTAGAGCTTGTTCGTATCCTGCCCTGGGGTCTTCTATTTGCAGGCACGCTCTTAGGGATTTCTTAGCGCGGCCGGTGTAGGCCGAGAGAAGTATTTCCAATTTTAGTGCATAGGGTATGGGCACCTTCCCAGTGTGTCTTTGGAAGGCATGCTTGAACTCCCAATACTCATCACAAGTCCCTCCGCTGAACCTCGGCATTGGCCTCTGGGGAAGCCTCATAGTGGCCATTAACTCTTCCAGTCTCTGGGTTGGTAGCATCGTGTCCGATGGCCTCCCTTCCATCCGTCCTGGGCGTTCTCGCTGTATATCTTGTACTTGGTTTTCCTTCTACTGGGTTTCTGTTGGTGTCACTGCTTCCGGAAAGTGGGTATGACGGGTGGAAACATGTTCCCTCTCCCCCTGATGAGATATTCCCGACACTGAGGCGCTGAGTGTTGGGAACCCTCCTTGGGTGGGTGTCGAGGTGTAGCAGCTAGACACTCCTGGTTCCGGCGGTTGACAACGTTTGTCTCGTGGATACCTCGTCGCGGTTGTCATCCCCTCACTTGTTTCCAGAAAAGGCCTTCCTCCTGGTAATGACAGCATCTCACCAAAGTCCTCCGTATCGCCTAAAGTCTGCAGTTGCTCCATATGATCTTTCATATTCTGCATCATTGCCGTCAATTGGGTGAGCGTCCGCCGATAACCCCGATTACCCTATTCATCTGGCTTGCTGGTTTCACCTTCTCTCGGGTGAAAGCAGGGCAGAATAAGCTTAATAGGGGCCTGAGGGCACCAGATCGGCTTGAGACCTCCACTGCCCTCCAAGATATATATATATATATATATATATATATATATATATATATATATATATATATATATATATATATATATATATATATATATATATATATATATATATATATATATATATATATATATATATATATATATATATATAAATAGAATTATATATATATATATATATATATATATATATATATATATATATATATATATATATATATATATATATATATATACACACATATGTAAGAACAAAATATACCCAAATTTATCAATGATTTCATCAATATTAAGCTTCTGCAAAATAATACATTCAATGTTCATAAGAGACAGAAAATTGAGACGTTGCTAGGACATCGTTGAACGAAGTTCATGTTTTATATGCTTCAACTTCGAGAATGTTTGGATTTGGGGGCCCCTTAGAGTCGGGGGCCTGAGGCCAGTGTCTCAAGTGCCTCATGGTTAATCCGGCACTGGGTGAAAAAGGTTTCTCCACTTCGACCTGGCTGTGTGAGTGACGGTCATCTCCGTTGTTCAGGGCTTATCTTCTCTGCCTTGCTCCCACTTTAATTCATATTACGCTACATAACATTCAAATCCACCGCGCTTGTAGAATCTCAGGAGAGACTTGTTTTTCCCATCCGTTTTACACTCAGGATCACTCCCAGTAAGTCCCGCCTTCGAACACAGTTGTCACTAGTTTATTCCACTCTCTACTGGCAAACGCAATCTTGAATTAGTCTGTGTAAATCAACTTTAGTAATTTGCCAGACCTTTGTCAACTGAGGGTCATCCTTGAATGAGTAACAGTTAGATTGTTTGTAATTTCTGTCATTGCGTGAGTAGCGATCGCTGGCAACTCAGGGGTATATAAACCAGTGCGAGGCGGAAGGAGTAAACCTCCCGTATCACCTTTCACCTTCGTTCTCAGATCGAGGGTGGGCTTAATTGAAACCCACCTGTCGCTCGGAGCCAGTGGATACCCAGCAGTGGTCAATATATGAGTGATGGCGCTGATTCGGCAGGATTAATCGGCTCCACTCTACCTCGTGGGCCGAGGACCCCAGACCCGCCTCGTGTCGGAGTATAACCGACCACAACAGCAGTGTTAGAGGCGCCAGTGCTATACCCTGGGACAGGCCTTGGAGTTATGGTTCACAGTGTGGTTGTATGTGTTTGTTAATAATTACCCCATGTTGGGTAGTGGACCCATGTCGGTGTTTGTATCAGTATTAGCGTGTTGTGAGTGCATCTCCTATACACTACCAACAGTCTGTGAAGCATCATATGCCAGTTGGTCTTATAACTGGATGTAATGAGAAATACCTAGTAAGGTGGGAGAAGTAAAGTAATCTGCAAGGAGTTGCCATGTAATTATGTATTGTGAGTAAGGACAAGGAACTGGTCCTGCTGTGTAATGTAATGTGGCACCAGTAAGATTGTGCACGGTAAGAGTGTAATATCTGAGTACTTCTTGTTGAGTAAATAAGAAAAATAGGTAAATAAGAAATACGGATTCTGCAATAAGCCCAGGAGTTGAGCCTGGTAGTTATATGTTAATAATATCTCTTCCCCTTTGATTTTATATTAATAAACTTGTTCTTTGAGTATTTTAGGAGTATTCATTTCTCCCACAGTAGTTACCTTTATTTCCGTCCAAGTGACCCTGATATCAGAATTGCTCTACCCATGTGCCTAGACAGGGTCACCAAACTTTTTTCACAGTGGGCCGGATAACTGAAAGAATGACGAGCGCGGGCTGCATAATCATTCTGTTCAATACTTGCAAGCCAGAACGAAAGCTCTGGTAACGTCAGAGCATAGGTGGAGCTACCACGAGCCGGGGAAGGACTTGGGATCCGGCCCGCGGGCCGTAGTTTGGTGACCCGGCCTGAATCAACATGCTACCAAAAGAACTGAGGATTAGGTAGTACCAAGAAGAACTGAGGTTAGGTAGTACCAAAAATGAACTGAAGTAAGTAGAAGGAACATTTGAAAAAACTAAGACATGTGGTTTCACCCTTCTTTCCCCTTATCGATCTGGTCAATGAAAAACCTAACCCAATGCCTAGTCCACTCTGCCCGCTACCTAACGAGCTACATGCACAATGCATGTGTTCTGGGTATCAAGTTCTATCTACAGGAGCAAACACAAACACCTGTAGAGATTTCGTAGGTTCTATTTCCTGGATAAACAGAGATACACAAGGGAGGTGATGCTCCTTACTCTGTCTGGGGGTCAACTAGCCTTTTAGGCGACATGTGGCAAGTGATACATTAGCAGCTTCCATATGTCGCCAGGCACATTAATTAAGCGTGTGGGACATGGTAAATACATTGCCGCACGCTGCTAGCTAAGCTGAATAAATAATGTATATAAATGGAGCACATACATAATATACATACATAATATACATACACCATACATAATTTACATACAGCATATATAATATACATACACCTCCCTCCCCCCTATACGCTCATAGCAAAGTCTTGAGCGGACCTTTTCTTTTGGATCCGTTCTGAGCGTCGAGGGACTTGATCACTGGGAAGGGTATGGGACTCAACACTGGTGGAGGGGTCAGCAGAAGGCGTTGTTACGGGGCGGAGAAAACGGCGGTTCCTCCACCACACACGACCACTGGGTAACCGCACCTGGTAGTCCTGTGACCTACCGAGACCCATGACTACGCCCACTTTGTCCCAACGTAGGGAGGTCGGGTCCTGAACACGGACTTGGGTGCCAACACTCAACTTGGGAAGAGGACGGGCGTGGTCGTTGTAGCGGGCGACGACATCATGAACACGTTCGGCGGCTCGGCGATCACAATCCTCTGTCTTGGCCTGCCACTCCTTGGAGAAGGATTGAGGGTGAGCAGGGACACAAGAACGAAGGGGGCGTCCATACAAGACCTGGGCAGGGGAGCGTCCGGTGTAGTTAGGTGTGTTGCAGAGTTCAAGAAGACCCCGGTCGAAGGCCTTGCTGTCAATATTCCCAGAAGGGGCCACCTTAAAGATGAGGTGCTTCAGGGATTTGACAGCAGCCTCAGCGTGGCCGTTGGACTGCGGGTAATGGGACGATGACAACACATGCCGGACTCCCCATCGGTCAAGGAACACAGCAAAGTCCCGGCTTGTGAACTGGGGCCCTCCGTCGGCTCGCAGGCGCACAGGAACGCCCACGTCACGGAAGTAGTGGCGGAACTTGCTGATGGTGGCGGCAGACGTCGTGTCATTACCGCACTTGATGACAACCGGCCAACCAGAGAGGCGGTCGATGATAACAAGGAAGGACTTTCCTGACACAGAGAAAAAGTCGGCTGACACAGACTCAAAGGGGCGGGTGGGGTTGTCGTCACTCATGAAGGGTTCCTGCTGCTGG